AAGACATACACAATGAAAAGTACAAGATACTGCTGCAAGAAACCAAAACAGACCTGTACAAGTGGAAAAACATACCTTGCTCATGGATAGGAAGACTCAACATTATGAAAATGTCAATTCTACCCACAGCTATCTATAGATACAATGCAATCCTGATCCAAATTTCAACAGCATTATTTAATGAGATGGAGAAACAAATCAAGTTCATATGGAAAACGAAGACGCCCCAAACGAGTACAGCATTACTGAAGAAGAACAAAGTGGGAGGCCTCATACTACCTGATTTTACAACCTATTATACCACCATGGTACTCAAAACAGCCTGGTACTGGTACAACAGATACGTAAACCAGTGGAACAGAATTGAGAATCCAGACGTAAATTCATCCACCTATGTGCAGCTGATATTTGACAAAGGCCCAAATTCCGTTAACCAGGGAAAAGACAGTCTCTTTAACAAATGGGGCTGGCATAACTGGATATCCATCTGCAAAAAACTGAAACAAGACCCATACCTCACACCATGCACAAAAACTAACTCAAAATGGATCAAAGACCTAAATATAAAATTAAAAATGATAAACATCATGGAAGAAAAAATAGGGACAACGCTAGGAGCCCTAATGCATGACGTAAACAGAATATAAACCATAATTAACAATGCACCAACACCAGAAGAAAAACTAGATAAATGGGAGCTCCTAAAAATTAAACACTTATGCTTATCAAAAGACTTCACCAGAAGAGTCAAAAGACAACCTACGGACTGGGAAAAAATTTTTTGGCTACAACAAATCTAAGCAGCGTATAACCTCTAAAATCTACAAGATACTACAAAACCTCAACAACAGAAATACAAATAACCGCATTAAAAAATGGGCAAATGATATGAACAGGCACTTCACCAAAGAAGACATTCAGGCAGCTAAAACACATATGAGGAAATGCTCACTATCACTAGCCATTAGAGAAATACAAATCAAAACTACAATGAGATACCATCTCACCCCAGCAAGGTCAGCATTCATCCAAAAAACATAAAATAATAAATGCTGGAGAGGCTGTGGAGAGACTGGAACACTTACAGACTGTTGGTGGGAATATAAAGTGGTACAACCACTTTGGAATTCGATTTGGTGCTTGCTTAAAAAGCAAGAAATAGAAGTACCATATGATCTAGCAATCCCACTCCTTGGAATATAACCTAGAGAAATAAGAGCCATCACACAAATAGATATATATACACACCCATGCTCCCTGCAGCACTGTTCATGATAGCAAAAAGACAGAAACAACCTAGGTGACTATTAACAGATGAATGGATGAACAAATTATGGTATATTCACACAATGGAATAGTACACAATGATAAAAGAACAACGATGAATGCGTGAGACATCTTTTAACGTGGAGGAATTCGGAAGGCATTATGCTGAGTGAATTTAATTAGTCGCAAAAGGACAAATATTGTATAAGACCACTATTATAAGAACGCAAAAAAAGGTTTAAACACAGAAGAAAACATTCTTTGATGGTTACGAGGGTGGGGAGAGAGGGAGGGGGGTTATTCACCAACTAGTAGTAGACAAGAATTACCCTAGGTGAAGGGAAGGACAGCACACACTACAGGAGAAGTCAGAACAACAGGAATAAACCAAAACTAAGAAGTTTCCTGAATACAGCCAAAAACTTCAAGGGACAATGTAGTAGGGGCAGAGGTCTGGGGACCATGGTTTCAGGCGACATCTAGGTCAAGTGGCATAACAAAGTTTATTCAGAAAATGTTCTGCATCCTACTTTGGTGAGTGGCGTCTGGGGTCTTAAAACCTAGTGAGTGGCCATCTAAGATGCATCTATTGGTCCCAATCCACCTGGAGTAAAGGAGAATTAAGAACACGATAGACATAAAGAAAGTATTAGCCCAAGAGACAGAAAGGGCCACATAAACCAGAGACTTCATCAGCCTAAGACCAGAAGAACTTGATGGTGCCCAGCTAACACCAAAGACCGCCCTGACAGGGAACACAACAAAGTCCCTGACTGAGCAGGAGAAAAGTGGGGTGCAGAACTCAAATTCTAGTAAAAACACCAGACTTAATGGTTTCATTGAGACTGTAGGGACCCCGGAAGAAATGGCCCCCCGACTCTGTGAGCCCAAAACTAAAACTGTTCCCGAGGCCAACTCTTCAGACAAAGATAAGACTGGACAATGGGACATAAAATGATACTCATGAAGAGTGTATAGCTCAAGCAGATACATGAGACTAAATGGGCAGCTCCTGTCCAGTGGCAAGATGAGAAGGCAGAGGGGGTCAGAAGCTGGTTGAATGGACACGTGAAATCCAGGGTGGAACACAGGAGTGTGCTGTCACAGTATAGGGAGAGCAACTAGGGTCACATAACAATGTATGTATAAATTTCTGTATGAGAGACTAACTTGAATTGTAAACTTTCACTTAAAGCACAATTTAAAAAAAAAAAAAAGTGAAAGGAGCCTGGATGACAGCACATCTGTTTACGACATGGCTTACTGAATAGTTCAAGCCCACTGTTGAGACCTACTGCTCAGAAAAAAAGATTCCTTTCAAATTATTACTGCTCATTGACAATGCCCCTGGTCACCCAAGAGCTCTGATGGAGATGTACAAGGAGATTAATGTTGTTCTCCTGCCTGCTAACACAACATCCATTCTTCAGCCCATGGATTAAGGAGTAATTTTGACTGTCAAGTCTTAATATTTAAGAAATAGATTTCATAAGGCTAAAGGGAGACCTGGTGGCACAGTGATTAAGAGTTCAGCTGCAAACAAAATGATCGGCAGTTCAAATCCACCAGCCACACCTTGGAAATCATACGGGCAGTTATACTGTGTCCTATAGGGTAACTACAAGTCAGAATCGACTCAACAGCAATGGGCTATAGCTACCATAGATAGTGATTCCTTTGATGGATCTGGGCAAAGCAAACTCAAAACCTTCTGGAAAGGATTCACTATTCTAGGTGCCATTAAGAACATTCATGATTCATGGGAGGAGGTCAAAATATCAACATTAATAGGAGTTTGGAAGAAGCTGATTCCAACCCTTGCGGATGACTTTGAGGGGTTCAACTTGTTAGTGAGGGAACTAACTGCAGATGTGGTGGAAAAAGTAAGACAACTAGAATTAAAAGTGGAGCCTGAAGATGTGACTGAACTGCTGCAGTCTCATAATAAAACTTCAACAGATGAGGAGTTGTTTCTTATGGATGAGCAAAAAAAATGGTTTCTTGAGATGGAATCTACTCCTGGTGAAGATGCTGTGAACAATGATGAAATGACAACAAAGGATTCAGAATGTTACATAAACTTAGCTGACAAAGCAGTGGCAGGGTTTGAGAGGACTGACTTCAATTTTTAAAGACGTTCTACTGTGGGTAAAATGCTATCAGCTTTGCATACTACAGAGAAATCTTTTGTGAAAGAAGAGTCAATCGATGCAGCAAATGTCATCGTTGTCTTATTTTAAGAAATTGTCACAGCCATTCCAGCCTTCAGCAACCACCACCCTGATCAGTCATCAGCCATCAACACTGAGGCAAGAACCTCCACCAGTGAAAAAACTACGACTTGCTGAAGGCTCAGACGATGGTTAGCATTTTTTATCAATAAGGTATTTTTTAATTAAGGTATGTCCTTCTTTTTTTAGACATAATGCTACTGGACACTTAATAAACTACCAAAACAAAACCCACTGCCACTGAGTCAATTCCGACTCATAGCAACCCTACAGAACAGAGTAGAACTGCCCCATAGGGTTTCCAAGGAGCGGCTGGTGGACTCAAACTGCTGACCTTCTGGTTAGCAGCCAAATGCTTAACCACTACACCACCAGGGCTCCTGCCTAACAGACTACAGTATAGTGTAAACGTAACTTTGATATGCACTGGGAAACCAAAACATTCGTGTGACTCGCAATTTTATTGCCATATTCACTTTACTGCGGTGGTCTGGAACAAAACTTGCAGCATCTCTCAGGTATGCCTGTACTCAAACAGTCTATGGAACTTAATCTCAAAACAAAGGGATTTCTGACATCATGTATAAGAAATACGAGGTAAAATTACTAATGACTGCTACACTATTTTACCTCAAGAAGAAAACAAAACACATAAGATTTTCAGAGGACAGCAATCACCTATTGATAAAAATTGCTTTTCGTAGATTATTAATGCTTTATCAAAGCTTCATCAAAATGCTAGACAAACAAATCTGTCTTGGAAGAAGTACAACCAGAATGCTCCTTAGAAGCAAGAATGGCGAGACAACATCTCACATACTTCAGACATTTTATCAGGAGGGACCACTCCCTGGAGAAGGACATCATGCTTGGTAAAATAGAGGGTCAGCGAAAAAGAGGAAGGCCCTCAACGAGATGGACTGACACGTGGCTACAACAATGGGCTGAAGCATAATAAAGACTGAGAGGATGGCACAGGACTGGGTAGTGTTTTGTTCTGTTGTGCACAGGGTCACTATGAGTCAAATCTACTCGACGGTGTCTAACAACAACAACATCTGGACTAAAGTAGGCACTAAAGAAACATTTGCTAGAAGCGTATCAGGCAGGAGGTATTAATCTAATCATAAGTAAATAATAGCTATGTACCAATTCCCTTCATAGCTGTTAAATCAGTCAGATTAATTTTCATCCTTAACAAAAAGAAAATAGCTTCTCTATGGTAGAGCTGCCACTTAGAGCTAAAATGAGGACTCAGCCACAAGAATTAACTAATTTTCAATGAGATCTATTTTTTTGCTTCCTTTTAGTTGATTTTTTTCTAGTCTCATTTTAACCGTCCTGACTTACACTGTTATAATGTTTTATCACTTGAAGTACTTTTTTAAAATTTGGAAGTCAACAAAATATAATTCTGAAATAAGTAACTCTTAAGCCTAAAACTACGGACACCAGTAGAGAAGAATCAGGGCACTTTCATGGCTTTAAAACTTTAATTTTTACCATCATCTGGTCACAGCTCATGAGACTTCTAAAAAGATCCAAATAGTCTTTGGTCACAGGCACTTTCCACTTGCCAGTTCGCACTTCCCCAGAGGCACGAAGGTCTTCAGCCTCGGCCACAGCATCCTGCCAGGAAGACACATGCAACAGTCACTGACGGGGCCACAGGACAAACACTGCAGCTAGGCTTACCGAACATCAGAATTTCCTAAACTAAGCCACTCCTGGTATTAGATGTATAATTAGATTAAGGAAGAGATTATATTATGGAAGCATAATAAAAAAAAGCCTTAAGAAAAGTTGTGAGTTTTCTAACTGTGACTAAAATGGTGCTGCACCAGGAAGTATTCTAACACATACCCACTGAGTGCACTTTGAGTCACTGACCTCTCATTCTTAAACAGTGCAATCTCTCACACATTCTATTTCCTATAACTCCTAGTCATTAAGATATACCTCCCATAATATACTCTGGTATTTGGTCCTACAGATTCAAAAGAGAAAACATTTCCTTTTTGTAAAAATGTGTATGTAACAGAAAAGTTATGCTTAAGCCAGCACAACTTGTAAAAGGCAAGGTCATGTACGCTCCACAGACACGTCCAAACTCCCTGAGGGCCCGAACTACTTGGCTGAGGGATATGGGGAACGTGGTCTCAGGGCACATCAAGCTCAGTTGGTATAACATAGTTTATAAAGAAAATGTTCCATGTTCCACTTTGGTGAGTAGCATCTGGGGTCTTAAAAGCTTGTGAGCGGCCACGTAAGATACTCCACTGGTCTCACCCCATCAGGAGTAAGGGAGAATGAAGAAAACTAAAGACACAAGGGAAAGATTAATCCAAACGACCACAACTATCACAGCCTCCACTAGACTGAGTCCAGTACAATTAGATGATGCCCGGCTACAAACACTGACTGCTCTGACAAGGATCATGACAGAGGGTCCCAGACAGAGCTGGAGAAAAATGTAGAACAAAATTCTAACTCACCAAAAAAGACCAGACTTACTGGCCTGACAGAGACTGGAGAAACCCCAAGAGCATGGCCCCCGGACACACTTTTAGCTCAGTAATGAAGTCACTCCTGAGGTTCACCCTTCAGCCAAAGATTAGACAGGCCCATAAAACAAAATGAGACTAAAGGACCATACCATCCCAAGGGCAAGGACTAGAAGGCAGTGGGGGGACAGGAAAGCTGGTAATAGGGAACCTAAGGTTGAGAAGGGAGAGTGCTGACATGTCATGGGGTTGGCAACCAATGTCATATAACAATAAGTGTACTGTTTAATCAGAAGCTAGTTTGTTCTGTAGACCTTTATCTCAAGTTCAATAATTACAAAAAAAAAAAGTTATGCTTAAGGATGTTTCATAACTCAGGAGAAGTTTATTCACCTGACAAAATACAGAGATACTACGGTCTACACTTCTCAAAAAGTAAGACATGGCTAATAACTAACAAAGATTACGTTTGGATATTTACATACTGAAAACCTCAGCAACATTTCTTTCTGTTGCAAAAGATTAATTTTGAAAACATTAGATTCAGAATTTACCTTCTGAAGAACGACTGGTTTAGAACATATTCTGATTAAACCCTGATGCACTGAAAAAAGAAAACGAAAACAAAAATGAAAGATACACTGAAAAATACATACAAAATACTCAGCAGAAATAACAGCTATTACTTTTTGGAACATAACTTTACCTCTCATGTCTTTTCTCTAACTTGGTTAATAACTTTGGTTTTTAAATCTGTACTAATGTTGAGATTCAGAAAAGGAGAAAAAGAGATTAAAAAAAAAAAGGATGGGAAAAAGTAGATATGGGTCCACCAAAGTATTAGGAGTTCCCCATGAGACATCAAAAGATACAAAAGAATTTGGCAACCAGATTTTCTTTACCTACATCAAACAATATGCTAAGTATTAATCATTCATCATCATAAACAATAAGAATGAACTCCAAACTTACCCACAGTACCAATGCAATTCCAGAGAACTGGTCCTTTGTCAACTAAGGCCAGGAAAACTTTCACTATGGCTCTGCAACACACTGACTGCATTTTTGGACTATACTGTGGGAAACTGTCTATATGCACCACCATGAGGTGCTCCAAAACTGGAGTGTACACCTCAGGAACCTGCCAGAAGTGGAGAGCATACGAAAAGTTAGGGATGGGAATAAATAAATACAGGAATAGCACAGATATTCAAAGTAATCACAACTCAATTAGTCAGACACTAGGTGTCTTAGTCATTTAGTGCTGCTCCAACAGAAATGGCACAAGTGGATGGTTTTAACAAAGAGAAAGTTATTCTCTCACAGTCCAGTAGGCTACAAGTCCTAATTTAGGGCATAAGCTCCAGGAGAAGTCTTTCTTTCCCTGTCAGCTCTGGAGGAAGGTCCTTGTGATGCATCAGTCTTCCTTTGGTCTGGGAGCATCTCAGCACAGGAACCTCAGATCCAAAGGATATGCTCTGCTTCCAGCACTGCTTTCTTGGTGGTATGAGGTTTCCATGTATCTCTGCTCACTTCTCTCTTTTATGTCTCAAAAGAGATTGGATTAAGACACTATCTAATCTTGTAAACCTCATCAGCATAACCTCATCATAGCGGTAGAGTTTACAACACATAAGGAAATCACATCAGATTTTCAGAATGGTACACAATCATACATCATGACCTAGCCAAGTTGATAGATATTTTTAGGGGACACAATTCAATCCATGACACTAGGTAAATGAAAAACATGGTTTTTTAATCTAATCTGCTAAGTCTATCATTTATTACTGTGATTGCCTAAGAAAAATCAGAATAAAACTGTCTGAATGATACTTAAGGTGCTATTCTGTCTAAAGCAGCAATTTTTAATCTTTTAGAAGATGAACAGTAACAATTTTTTTTCCTGCTTTGGATAACAAAAAATCAAGTTTCATGACAATAATTCTACTGACGCAAAATGCTAATTTAAAGTGTAACTTTGCTCTGAACAGTGCCTGTACCAAATGCATCAGGAAGCCCCATCAAATTGAGGAACTGAGGTTAAATACTCAAAATTGCACTCAGCTGAATGGGCTCTTCACTTACGGTGTCAAGGTAAAGCAAGACGCTGGCAATCGACTGGAGGAAACTCGGCATCTGGTAGACATGGTCATCGGAGGTGTCTGTCTGAGTCAGGAACATCTGTCTGCAGCGCTGGATGAGCTCGACGTACATCCAGTCCACGTTTTCTGCACTGATAGCCTTACAAGGCTTTATAAAAGGTAGAACAAAAGTCATCAACCTCAGCAATATCAAATAATGTGTATTTAATGCGTCACATTAGCCATGTGATTACAAACTGAATATTAACAAGCTTTTGACTGAGAAGAAATACAGATTTAAAATACAATATGTCTTTATAAAGATGGTTTGTAGAACAATCAATATTCATACACAAAACATTTATTGACTGTCAACTACATTCTAGGCATATTTAGATGGTGGAAGCCAAACACAAATGAGGCACAGTCCCTGCCCCCACAGGGCTACCGTCTAGAGGAAGAGACTGACAATGCAACACATAACTAGAATATGCCACTCCACCAAAGGCAATCTTCTTAAAACATAAGTCTGATAACGCTACTACTCAATATCCAATTTTTCAAAGGCCTCCTTCTATTTCCAATTCTGGTCCAGCCTCCTCCAGGATCTGACTGGCTTCTCTGTTGGAGTCCTTGCTCTCTGCTCACCTGTCACGCCCTGGCCACACGAAACAAACGGAAGTAGGTGAGACACAATGCGTAGCACTGAAAATGCGTGCTTTCTCTCATTCTGAGCCTTCTCACATTCTGTTTCCTCTGCCTTACAAATACTTAAAGGAGCCAACAGAGACAAATGGAGATGAAGATAAAAAAGAAAAGAGAACATTTGGAAGCGAAGACTTTGAGGAAAAAAGGGGATGGTCTCAGCAATAAGAGTGGGAGGTTGGAACTGAAACGAGAGTAGACAGCAATGAAAAAATTATAGAAAGACAGGCAGGAAGTTACTTTCTCTATAAATCTCATCATCTAGAAAGAATAACTAGGGTCATTCTCAATATGGGGCCTGGTGGCGCAGTGGTTAAGAATTTGATTGCTAACCAAAAGGTCGGCAGATCAAATCCACCAGCCACTCCTTAGAAACCCTATGGGGCAGTTCTACTCTGTCCTATGGGTCACTATGTGTCGGAATCGACTTGACAGCAACGGGTCTGGTTTTTTGGTTCGATTCTCAATATTCTTACATGCATCTCTTGCTGTCATATGAAATCTCCTTCCAAAGCCTTGAGTGACATCAACTCCAATTTCATTTCATGAAAAAGGGGCAGAACAGCCCAGTGGAAAAAAACGTGATGTATCTAGCCTTCAGACTTGGATTTACGTCTTGATTCTGACAATTATTAACTGTGTATCCTTGGACAAGTTACCTAATGTCCCTGGGTCTCAGTTTCCTCATCTGCAAAATGGAATAACAGCTTATAGGAGAGTCATGAGAACTTGCAATAATACATGTAAATAATCTTGGTACATAGTAAGCACTCAAAAACCCCTCCACTGTTAACAATAAAACAAACAATAATATTGTCATAAGTGTAAGATGTTATTTAAAAATGCAATAAATAAAATATATTCCTTTAAAAGTCAAGTGAAAATAAAAAGATAAAACAGAGTAAATGAATAAGCCATACTCCTGCAAAAAGTCCATATCCACGAATAGCAATGGATAATTCCTTGTTGCTTGAATCCGTGTTTCTGATGATTTCATAGAATTGTTTCATAAAGTATTGTAGCGTACTCTTATTCCTTTCTGCATCTCTTGCCACCATAAAAGAAACCTGTAATTGCATAATATTTAATTTTTAGGATATTCAATAGCAAAATAAAAGAATCTAAACAAACGTAAAAAGGTTTCCTGTTGTTTTGTGCCGCTGAGTCGATTTTGACTCATAGCAACCCTATATGACAGAGCAGAACTGCCCCATAGGGTTTCCTAGGCTGTAATCTTTACAAGAGCAGATCGCCATGTCTTTTCTCCCACGGAGCAGATGGTGGGTTCAAACCATCAACCTTTCAGTAAGCAGTCAGGCACTTAACCATTGCACCACCAGGGCTCCTTCATAAAAACGCTAGATTTGTTTAATTATAATGTGTTGTTACAGTTCCACACAATTGCTTTTACTCAGAGAATCACTGTTTCCACTAGCTTTCTGAATGGATTTTAGAAAGACACTCTCTGAAAAAAGGCTGCATTAAATGCTCATGTATTTGCTCCAGAGAAAGCGACTAAAAGAGACCAGGGACATGTGGGAAGAAGTCTGCACAAAACTATATTTTGTATGAAGCAGATCATAGCCTCCAGACATCATCTGAGACTCTGCGAGTGACATGGAGCTATGTGTATGCAGTGCTCAATGAGCTCTGATGCCACCTAAGACTGGGCGCTGCACTACTCAACAAAAATAGAGCAAAGAACTAACAGCCAAAAAAAAGACAAAGCATTTCATTTTTCAAAAAAATAAGCTACAGAACCACATGAACCACAGCCTCCACCAGCCTGAGCCCAGAAGAACTAGATGGTGTCTGGCTACCACCAGTGACCACTGTGACAGGGATCACAATAGAGGATTACAGACAGAGCAGAAGAAAAATGTAGAACAAAATTTACATTCACAAAAAAAAAAAGGCCAGACTTACTGGTCTGACAGAGACTGGAGGAACGCCCGAGACTATGCCCCCCAGACACCCTGCTAACTCAGAACTGAAGCCACTCCCGAGGTCCACTTTTAGCCAAATATTAGACAGGCCTATAAAACAAACAATAACACACGTGAGGAATGTGCTTCTTCAAATATACGAGACCAAATGGGCAACACCTGCCCAAAAGCAAAGACAAGAAGGCAAGAAGTGACAGAAAAACTAGACAAATGGACATGGGGAACCCAGGATGGAAAAGTAAAGGACGAGATTGCTGACACAATGTGGGGAATGCAACCAATGTCACAAAACGTTTTGTGTATAAATTTTTGAATGAGAAACTAATTTACACTGTAAACCTTCACCTAAAGCACAATAAAATTAAAATAAATAAGCTACAAACTATATAGCAGGAATTAGGTAAGGCAAGAAAAAATGTACTCTGAGAAGCAAGTAGACCACTATCTACCAAAGTCAGTATCAATAGCCTGAATGCAAAAACTAACACTGGTATTCAAGAAAGCATTTCTAATTTTGATACAAAGACTATCCAGGACAAGAATGCAAAGAACCTAGATAATTAACAAAAGTAGAAGAAAAAAAAAATTCCACCTTTCATTGTCAACCTACCAACACACTCTCTAATCCCAAACAAAGCCACTACTTAGATTTTCATTTATGTCTTCCCATTTATTTTTTTAAATATAGGATATTGCAGCCATCTACGATACAACTATTGGTCTTTATTTATCTGGAGCAAAAGAGAAACAAGGAAACCAAAGACTCAGGGAAGAAGCTTAATCTATAGGACAAATAATCTACACAAACCATGGCCTCATTTACCCTGAGACCAAAAGAACTAGATGGTGCCCAGCCACCACTACCAACTGTTCTGGTCAGGGCCACAATCGATGGACCCTGAGAGAATGGGAGAAAAATGTGGAACAGAACCTCAAATTCCTAAAAAAAAGAACAACAACAACAAAAAAAATCCTACTAGACTAGTTGAGACTGGAGGACTCCCTGCTCTGAGATAGTCTTCAAACCTTGAACAGAAACAATCCCCTGAGGTCATCTTTTAGCTAGATAACTGGCTCAAAAAAGAATTATCACCCATGAATACTGTGCTCCTTGAAAAAAATCACCTATATGAGACCAAACGGCCAACAATCACTTTAAAACAAAGATGAGAATGTAAAGGGGCAGAGAAACTAGATTAATGGAAATGGAACAACGAGAAGGGAAATAAGGAGAATGCTAACGCATTGCGAAGAATGTAACCAATGTCAGCAAACAACTTGTGTAGAAATGGGAATGGGAACCTAAACTGCTATGTAAACCTTCACCGAAAACATAATAAAATATTATTTTTAAATATATATACAGGATATTAAATATATTGCTTCAAAATTTCCATTTTTACAAAATACACCATGAACATGTTTCTCAAGCAGTTAAAAAGCAATATCATCTTATTAAATCACAGAACAGTTTTTTATTTTACGAATATATGTATATCCATTTAAACTGTTTCTAATTTTTTTATTATTGTACTTTCAGTAAATAACCTTTTCTGTGCATTTTTAACCAATTACTTTATTTTCATAATAGCAAAAACTCAGAAATAATTATGAAGCAATAGAAGATAGTTAAAAAATTATGGTAATAAATACAATGACATACTATGCTGTCATTAAAAATTAATCATGTAGGTCTCAGTGTGCTATCAGGAAAACATCTCCAAAACAGTGAAAAATATTCAGGTTGCAAAAATTATGAAAAATATTCGTTTATGTCAAGATCAATCAATCTCTCTCCTCTCTCCTGTGTCTCTCTCTCCCCACTCCCTGCCTCCCTCCCTCTTTGAGGAAGGAGGAAAGACAGAGAAAGGTTTACAAGCATCACCACTAATATGGTAAAATGGAATTTCAGGACATTTTAACAGTCTTCTGACTCTTCTATATTGCTTAAATTATATACAAATAACTTAGAATGTTCTGCAGAAGAACTTTTTATAAAGCTACTGAATAAAAAAAGAAAAATTCTGTTCCCACAGAATAATGTTTACATTCAAAAATGCATACACAGTAGGCAAAACAATAATGAAAAAGAACAAAGTTAGGGAACATCCACTACTTGATATCAAGACTTATATAAAGCCAGAATAATCAAGACAGTGAGGTACTAACGTATGAAAAACATAAAGCTGAATAGAACAAAACAGAGAGTTAAGAAATAAACCCACACATATATGGTCAACTGATTTTTTTTACAAAGTTGCCAAGGTAAGTCAGTGGGGAAAGAAAACTTTTCAACGAACGGTGTTAAAACCAACAAATTGGGGGAATACAATCAATTTCAACCCTTACTTTACACTATACACAAAAACTTCTTCAAAAGGATTATAGACTTAAACATAAAAGCTAAAACTATAAACTATAAAACTTCCAGAAGAAAATACAGCAGAAAATCTTCACAATCATGGGATAAGCAAAGATTTCTCAGATAGGAAAAGAAAGGAGAAACCAGTTTAAAAACTGGTAAAATAGACTTCACGAAAAATTTAAACTTTCTACTCTTTGAAAGTCCCTAGATAGCTGTGTTAGTTATCTAGTGTTGCTATTATTAAAAGAAATACCACAAGTGAATGGCTTTAACAAACAGAAGTCTATTCTCTCACAGTTTAGGAGGCTAGAAGTCCAAATTCAGGGTGCCTGTGCCAGGGGAAGGCTTTTTCTCTCTGCCAGCTCTGGGAAAAGGTCCTTGTCATCAGTCTTCCCCTGGTCTAGGAGATTCTCAGCACAGGGGTCCGGGGTCCAAAGGATGCACTCCGCTCCTGGCTGTACTTTCTCTCCTCACTTCTCCCTTCTTTTATACCTCAAAAGAGATTAGCTCAAGAAACAATCTAATCCTGTAGATTGTGTCCTACCTCATTAACATTACTGGCTCTAATCCTGCCTCATTAACATAACAGACAGCTCACTCCCAGAAAGGATCATAAGGACAGGCAGAGTCCAGGATTTACAACACATACCGAAAACTAACCTGTTGCTGTCAAGTCAATTCCCACTCACAGCCACCCAACAGAACAGAGTAGAACTGCCCCCGAATAGGTTTTCCATGCAGCAGCTGGTGGATTCAAACAACTGACCTTTGGGTTAGTAGCTGTAGCTCTTAACCACTGCACCACCAGGGCTCCAACACATAGGATAATTAAATCATCTCAAAATGGAGCACAACCACATAATACTAGGAATCACGGCCTAGTCAAGTTGACACATTGTTGGGGGACACAATTCAATCCATAATAGTAGTGCAAATGGTTAAGTGCTCGACTACTAGTCAAAAAGATGGAGGTTCAAACCCACCCAGAGGCACCTTGGAAGACAGGCCTGGTAATCTGTTTCCAAAAGATCACGGCCTGAAAACCCTATGGAGCAGTTCTACTCTGTACACATGGGATCCAACTCAACAGCAACTAACAACAACTACTCCTTGAAAGATGCTGTTAAGAAAATGAAAAGGCAAGCCACAGACAGAGAAACTATTTCCAGTATTTTTAGAAAAGGAGGTGTATCCAGAATATATATAAAACTCTTATAACTCATCAATAAAGAGACATAAAATCCAGTTTAAAACTCAGCAAAATATTTGCATGAATACGTCACTAAACAGGAAGGCTAATAAGCACATGAATTCAAGTCACCACAGATGTACAAATTAAAATCACAATAAGATACCATTAATATTGTATGACTCTACTTATATGAAATATCTAGAATAGGCAAATGTACAGAAACCAAAGGGTGGAAGGGAGGGGAGAAAGAGGGAGTCACTGCTTAGTGGGCACTGAGATTATGTTAAGGGTGATGGAAAATTCTGGAAACAGACAGTAGTGATGGTTGTACACAATACATGTAATTAATGTCACTGAATTCTACATGTAAAAAATGTTGAAATATCAAATGTTTTACATATATATATATATATATATATATATACCCACATATATATACCACAATAAGAAAAACTTGTAAGAAAACAATAAGGCAATTTAAAAAAATACGGTATTATTATACACCCATTAGAACATCAGAATGGCTAAAATTAAAAACTGACAATACCAAGTGCTGACAAAGAT